TATGTAGTAAAAACAACAATACTTTATGTAAAAGGGAACATGAAGACTGGAGTACCTCAAAGCTCAGTACTGGGCCCACTCTTCTTTTGAGAGTATATCAAAGATTTGCCAAATGTCAAAATATCTAGACTGTTCATCACTCACTAATCGAATCTGACATGAGTGACTAAATACAAAAGTAAGAAAATGTTTTGAGCGGAACTTAACAGAGGCCTCTTTCAATCTAAGTAAGTTTTTGATCTAGTAACCTCAGTGAAACAAAGGTATCAGCTCTAGCTTCCGAAGAATTGGACAGTTTCTTGTCTTGTCCCTCTTCCAAACAAACATGAGGTGTATTTGAATTTTTGCGAAAAGTTCTTTTCTCTAGTAGTATATCATCCAGTATATCAGTGATGGTTGAGTTTTGAATGTTTCGTAGAATATGGAACCACCTGGTGGAGATAATAAAAGAAGAGAATACGTCTGTGATGATCACTACGCACTATATAGAAGAGGCGAAGCAAGCTAATAAGGTATGCATTTCTCTATAGTTGCAGCAAATCTTCTTCGTATTATAATTTGCTTGTCTACAGAAGCGAATATGCGCCATGTGTTTGTTGAAACGAGTTTCAATAGCTCGTCTAGTTTGGCAAACGTAATTTCTGTTACCGCGATGTTCATTTTTTGAATCCCAGCTTTCAAGATGTCTTTATACTCTTATTGGCTCACTCTGTATTTACCGGTTCATTAGCCTAGTAAGTGGTGTAGATAATTGACCCATCAGTATATTCAACCGATAATAACTTGACAATATGCATGGAAATTGAACGTTTTTGCCAATATCGAAAATTTTCAATGATGAACAGAGTTGATCATTTGTATATCAGAAATTTCATATTATTATTCTACTGTGAACGGATCCAGCTTGACGTTATAAAAATATCAAGAATTTATCAAGAATCACAAATTCGTCAGTGTGATTGTAATTTCCACCTTATGTTGCCAACTGACTCAAGTAGGTCTATTCAAAGTTCAATTAAATATAACCTTGTTATTGAGAACACTCAAAAATTACAATGGCAATTATGAAAATACTTCAACTTCAACTACCCAAAAGTATTTCTGGTGACCTTGGTTAGATATGGACTATCTAATAGAATATATTTTATTAGACGTAATATACAGTGCATTTCTTTAATGTCCCTTCCTTTTATTTTTTGAACGGGTCAACTGAAAAAATTGAAATTTGAGATAGTAAAATTAATGCATGAATACCTCATTTTGAAGTGAAATTGACAGATGAAACTTTCAAGATGGTGACAGAGCGCCATCTGGGAAAAAACTAAATGAAAAGAGGTGATACATCATTTTGAAGCTCCTGACGAACAATTCACAACCCTGGCATATGAAGTCAATATCTTCACCTACTACAAAAAGGCGGAACATCTAACAATTTCTGAAGACAAACGCAATAATATCGATATTTCTAAAAATATTTATTTTCATCTGACATATGGCAATTCCAATAACACGATAAGGTTTGTTAAGTTATTTTATGTTTATAAAAATGACAAAAAGTATCAATACGACAATGAACATCATTGTTCAGTTAGAAGTTAGAAAGGTTCCACGTCAACAATTTCTAAAATGGTCAATTCTCGACCATTGAAAGAAAAAATTAAAGCGATTTTTATTTACGGTGCGACGCGTAACTTTCACGAGACCGAAAGGATTTTCAATGAACGTTTTCCGAATCGGCCTATCTGTAGAAAATATTTGAGGGAACTTGTATCCAAATTCACAACTAATGGTAGTGTACATAACAAAAAGCCCCCAGGTCATCCGTCCATTCCGGAAGAACAGCAAGTGCAAATAATTGGTGAGATGGTAGTAAATCCTGAACAGTCTACTTATTCAGTCGCGAATGTTTGTGAAGTGTCTTCTTCTATTGTGCCGAGATTTTTGAAGAGGAAAAGGTATCATCCATACAAAATTAAGATGGTACACCAATTAACTGAAGATGACCCTGATCGAAGAATAGAATTCTGCGAAATCATGACGGAAACCATTGCTAGGTATCCTACCTATCTTCACAATATTTGTTTTAGTGACGAATGTCACTAAAACAAATATTGGTAGGTAGGATGCCCAAACCCTCACTTTTTCCGGGAAACACATACCCAATATCCAGGAAAAAATAACGTTTGGGCAGGAATATTGGGAAACCATATTGTAGGACCTCCATTTATTGATCAAAATTTAACAGGAAAACTGTAATTGAATATGCTGAAAACTACTATTGACCCTCTCATACTGAAATCGTCGAAGCGAATCCTCATGAATTCGATATGGATATTGTATTCCAACAAGATGGAGCACCACCACATTACTCCAGACAAGTAGGAAACTATTTGGATACTACTTTTCCCGGTCGTTGGATTGGCCGTCGAGGTTCTACAGAATGGTCTGTCGCTCGCCAGATTTGACAACTTTGGACTTTTCTATGGGGCTATTTGAAGCAAAAGGTGTACGAAACTGCTTCAATATTGCATAAACGGTAGTGAATAATGAATATTTGTAAAGATTACTGTGTTCGAAAATGTTCGGCGTGAAATATCGTATAGGCTGTTCATTCGTCAAGAAGTTCAAGGCAATCATTTCGAGCATCTTCTGAACTAACCTCGAGCTTATTCTCTCATATTATGTAGTTAAATGTCAATGTATTCGGGCAATTATTGAAAGTTCCGCCATTTTGTAGTAGTTGAAGACATTATATTTTAGGCTTGTGAAGCACTTGTCAGGAGCTTCAAAAAGATGTGTCACCCCTTCTATTTAATTCGATTTCCCAGATGGTGCCCAGTTGTCATCTTGAAAGTTTCATCTGTCAATTCCACTTCAAAATAAAGTATTCATGCATTAATTTCATTATCCCAAATTTCAATGTTTTGCGTTGACCCGTTCAAAGAATAAAACAGGGGGACATTAACGAAAGGCACTGTATACCATCCATTATTAGCTAAATAACATTTGTTATTAAACTTTTTCAAAGAAATACTTTTCTGATTCTGATTAACTTCTTTCAAACTGACGATTGAGTATATCGGATTACCTTCTTGCGAGATCGTCGTTGATCTTTTTAAACGGAAAATTTAGCACATTTTTGAAATGGATTACAAGTTGCGTCAAATTGGTACAGGAATACATAAAAACTTGGCAAGTTGACTTGGGTGTAACACCAATAGGTAAGGTTCCATTTATGTCTAGGTTGCATTTATGCAGTTATTTTTATTAAGTACTTTTCTTGGTTATTCACATTTTGTCTTCAATCGAGGACCGCCTGCCCGGTGCTGACGATGCCCAATAGGCTGAAACAGCTTTCTACCGCTGGATCTTAAATTGAAATCAATATGGGAATGATTAGAATAGTACTTATCTATTTATCTTTTGATTTTCATAGAATTATTTTCCAGCAGCTTGACTGCATTAACCTTTTTCGATTTCATATCATTTCTAGAAACATGTGGATTCGTTCTCCGATGGCATTCCAGGTTAGCTTCCCAAATTTCTGCTACCGCAGTTGTCGGTTGATTGGTCAAACCACCAACACTGACATAATAACTTGGCAAGTTGACTTGGGTGTCACACCAATAGGTGGTCAGATGCGCATTTCAATAAAGCAAATAGCTGTCAACAATGATTACGATAGTAATCAAAAAAGTTATTCAGTCAACTTTTGAAGGTTTGAAGAAAGTTTACCCAATTCGAAGAGATCAGGATAAAAATATAGAACCTTAACCTACTTAGACCAACCCACTACTAATATTTCATATTTTCCGCACAACAAAGGTGTTAATATTACTTTTAGAACCACCAGCAACTTAGGCATGCACATTAAGAATAACAAAGATGAAAGTTTAGTTTCAGAAAAATCGGAAGAGTATAAATTATCATGTCGGCTGTGTCCGATGTTTCATATAGGTCAAATTGGAAGAACATTCAAAGCCCGCATAAAGGAACAAAGAAATAGTTTCCAGAATGGAAAAATAAAACTTCATATGCCACTCATGCAACCAAGAATTCAATCCCCTCCACTTCCAGAAGAAAGGTTTAAAACTTATGGAAGTGAAAAAATTCAAAAACTCTCAATATCTTAAGAACGATCAAACTGAACTGAATAATTTGCCATTAATGAATTTTTTCATTTCCAGGTAAGAAAAGTTAAGTATCTTTCAGAAATTTGATTTATTCTATAGTTAATGAATTTATACCTGACCTGTTCAGGTAGATTCATTCATTAGAAAGTAGGCAAACAAGTAGGTAACATGTTAGAGTATAAAATAGTTGTAATTTAGAAGTAACTTATTATTTTAGGCTTGAGAAAGCTACTGTGTAGCGAAATACGTGTCGCGGTTTTTGTAAAACCCTTTATGAAGAAAATCATACAATAAACTGTATAATTGAGTTTTTTACTTGTTTTACCAGATTTAATTATCTGTCTGATGAGTTTTGTTATCACCTACAAAATATTGCAGAATAGTCTGATGTACCAGTAACTGATGAAGCTACCGTATAGCGACACGCGTTTGCAATAAAATAGTGTTATTAATTTTCATCAAAAAATGGATCAGAGTATTCATAACCTCCTAATTCATCACTATGAAACATTTATTTCATAAATTATGATATTTATAATGATTCATCAAGTAACGGAGAAATATTATTTCTCTATCAAAACTTATTTTTGAACGAAACTTTCACAAGACCGGGAAATAATTTTTTATTGAACAATTGTACTTGGGGTTGAATTATTCTCAACATGATTTGTCAAGTATGACTTGATAACATAATGATGTCTGTCTATGGTGAAATCGTTCTGCTTCGTTATAAAAATTGACGACAAAAGAGATAAAGAAGAAAACAGTATACCAAAAATGAAAATATTTATCATTTATCAGTGAAGAAAACTGATTTATCATATCATTTAATCTTTTCAATATTCAGAATTTTTGAATCGATGACTGATATAAATGTTCCAGGAACCGTGTGAATACATTTCCAAAAATGGAGGTGAATCGAGTATCAAGTTTGATTCTGATACTCAGCACTGTTTTCTTGATTTCTGCCGAAGGGGTGAGTTAATAATCTTTTCACATAAAACACTGTGTCGCAAACTAGAAAATGTTATAGACAGTTTCTGGGAACAATGAATACAATGTATTAAAAATGTTGAATAATGACTGAAACTTATTATTTTATATTAAAATCAGAATCTTTTGAGGAAAGATCAGTTTTTTGAAAGGAAGTTTTGGCTCCCTATTTCTCCATAATTGAATGAAAACAATGCAATGCAAACTTTTTATGAGGATATGTTAGGTTAGGTCAAATAAACCCAGCTTCTTACCGAAGCCGATTAGTTTGTATGATGAGCGGTCTTTCAGGACAGATGGTAAGAGTACGGCTTTGCCAAACTCTGCCCCAGCGGGGCAGGCACAAAGTATATGTTCTGCGGTTCCATCATTTTCCAAACAGAGGCGACACACACTGTTCTTCTGACAGTCCTAGCCTCTGCATATGACGATTCAAGTGACAGTGACCTGTGAAAAGGCCTGTTAGACATCGTAGTTCATCCCTACTATAGTTCAACAACTGTTTGGTCTCAAGCTTCGAAGGGTGAGTAAACGCCTTGGAGTGAGCCAATTCTGAAAGATTTTTCCAGAAGTCCATAAATCTTCTTGCCATCCAGGTGTTCAATATTTGTTTGGCAAAGCCTAAAGCCATGCCAATGACAGATTCTGGTCCGATGAAGCTGCTTGCAGCATCCTTCTTCGCAAGGAAGTCAGCAGTCTCATTGCCTTCCAGACCAGTATGGTTAGGAATCCAGATCAGAGACAATCTAATAAGTCTTCCTATCGAGGAGAGTCGTCTTTGGCAATTTGCTACCAATTTAGACGTTGCTCAATTGAGCCAAGAGCTTTCAACACCGCTTGACTGTCCAAGAATATTTTTATTGATTTCTGTATGAGTGTAATAGCGTAAATTTTTGCTTGAAATACAGTCGCGTAGGTTCCTAGGCAGGTTGATATCTCTGTCCTGGGTCAGGGACTGAAAACACCTGCACCAGAACTGGAAACTGGTTTTGAGCCATCTGTGAACCATCAACTATCTGCTCTTAATATTTTCTTCTCCCGGAGGATCAAATCCTCTCTGATCGGGAACAGTACGTTATAATATACTTCCACTGGGACGATTGGACTTTGGTTTCGACGTCAAAACCATAGAACCATGATTCGTCACTATTTATGACCCATTCTAGCAAATCTGGATTGCCGTTGACGTCATTCAATAATTTCTGAGCGATGCTCATGCAGCGTTTTTTTTTTGGTGAATATTGAGCAAGTTTGGGACGAACTTTGCTGCCACACGCTTCATGCCCAAAATTTACTAAAAAATGGCATGGCATGAACCAACCGATATACCGACATTTTCGATAACTTCTCTAATAGTGATTAGATGATTCTCCATGACAATTCTCATTACTTTCTCAATATTTTCATTGGATGTGTATGTGTTGGGGCGTCTAGAGCGAGCGTCATCATTCACATTTTCTGGACCTTCTGTTAAAATTTTGTACCACTTGTTAACTTTTTTCTGACTCAGAGTACAATCGTCGTATGCCACTGTCAATATGTTGAATGTTTTTGACCCCTTGATTCAATTTTTTACACAACATTCAATGCAAATTCTTTGATCATTTTGTGTACTTGAACAAGAAATTTTCGACCGTTAGGTTTTATTTTTATTATTTTTGTTACTGTCAGTGGTCTGTTTGAAAAATTCAAATAGCGAAAATGTTTGTTCAGGTCGACCCGGTTAGGATTTCAATTAAAACAGTATATTTCTCTTCTGACATTGCTTATGATTGTAAAATCAAAAATGTTACAAATTTACTCGTAAAGACATTATTCAAAGACCTTCCAACTGATGTGTATATTTGACATTTTTGACATGGGGGTTTTTATGAAGAGGGAAAGGCAAGGCAAGGGGATGATTTTTGCGTAGAATCATGCCTTTCTGAAAGCTGAAGTTGACATGTTTCACAATTTTTATACGTTGTCAATATCAAATGACTTAATTAGGGGTGGTTGTTTTCAGTTGGAGTGTAGTTTATTTCGAACAAGAATTTTACTAATAGTTCATTGCTTTCGTTTTAAATGAGCAGATTCAATTCAATAAACATTCTTGATATGTTTCTTATTGCGGTCCTGGGAGTTTTTGAAGCCGGTAGAATATGTATAAAAATAATAACAATAAAAAAATTGAAGAAGTTTTCAGCATATAACATTAATTGAAAGTAAAAGGTGAAGTTCAGTTTTTGTGGGCGGAGAGGTCACAAAAGTTATTCTCCCACTCTTCTACTGAAGTGCCACATTTTATTTTTTCATAATTACCATTTCAAACTGGAGTAAAAACACGCCCGAAGAAGCCATTGTATGGCGAAATACGTGCTACGTTTTTTAAAAAATGTTTGATGAAAATCTTACAAAAAAGTGATTTTTGAATAAGTTATTTATGGATTTTCATCAAGTATCGGCCAATTCCATCATGTTTTTCAAACGATAATTGCTAAACAATCTGTCAAATATTGCGTTTTTGTACAAATTATCTGAATATAAAAATTAGCATTAAAACTCAAAGCGAGAGTGATAGTTTTCATTTGTTATAACTTTAAACGAATGTGATTTTTATTGAAGTGTGTGGTAGGACTATTCTGTTTATTTTTTAAACTTGTTTGAATTTAGTTTTCAAGAAGTGATGTTTTTCTATTGACATTTTGACAATAATATCAATGATAAACATAACATTTTATTCCAACTCTTTTTTAGATATTGGGAGCTGATGAAACCATCGTAAAGTTACCGAAAGGACGAATTCAAGGACACATTCTGAAGAGTTCGAAAGGGGCTAGCTACTATGCATTTCAGGATATTCCATATGCAGCACCACCTGTAGGTGAGAATAGATTCAAGGTAAGCTTGCCAGGACTCATTCAACCTACCAATCACTAAATTCATATGCTGCGTTTATCAACCACCAAGCGATACAATGTATAGCGAATCATTTTCTTTTCTGCAAATCAATCTCCACACTGCAAAATTTCCATATTCGGTTACTTCAATGTCTACAATATCGAATGACTCAAAATTTCAAATATCAACGACGAACAAGGTCGCAAAGCTGAGGCTCTTGAAATAAGCAGCGGACTTACTCAAACTATAAATGAGCTATCTAGGATTCCTGACCGTGATGAGGAATGTGCTAGTCTTCTGGATCTATACCTAACAACCAATCCAGAAATTCACACAGTCACCGTGAGGTCTCCATTGGGATCTTTTGACCACAAACTCATTTCTGTGTTGATTAAATTACCGATAAATGTTGGTGAACAATCTGAGCCGTGCAAAGTTTAGCGTTACAGATCTGCTGAGTGGGAGAATCATGAAGACCATTTTCGAAATTTCTTCTGGCTAGATATTTGTTTCAGCTCCAATGATCCATCAACTTGTGCTTTTCAAGTCAAGAAAGTTATTCTATTATATATATTCCTATTTTAAAGAAACGAACTTCTAGCAGAAAACCTTGACTCAACGAAGATTGTGAGCAAGCTGTCGTCTCAAAAAATCTCGCTCACCGGCAGAGGCGCAGAAATTCCAGTACCGGAAATCCAACTATGTTTGTTAGTACTCGTAACAGCTGCAAATTTAAAATGAATATTACTGGATTTTTCCCAACACCAAACCGTTATTTCAACACCTTTATACGTGTTCCGATCACCAAGTGATCATCTTCAAGAGGAAGATCAAACTGTTCATCTTCAAGAGGGCAATCATACAGTTTGATTTTTCTCTTGAAGATAATCACTTGGTGATCGAAACACGTGTCGAAGTTTTAAAATAAAATAACAATTTGGTGTTGGGAAAAAACTCCAGTAATATTCATGAATATGGCTTTCGAAAACAATGATCAACCGGCGACTTTCTATCGTATGTCACCCATAATTGAAATAACGCAATCGATAAACAGGGAGGGTCAAGAGCTCTTGCGCTTGATATTTCTAAGATCTTTGGTCATGTGTGATATTAGGATTACCGAGCCAAACTTTGATGCTATGATTTGTTGGATCATTTTTGTGTATGGCTCTCCAGCTTCCTGGGGTACACTAATTTCATCATTTCATTTGGATTCCAGTACATCTATTGCGGATGTACATTTTCACCGGCAGCAGGAGGTTGCATATCTTAATGAGGATCTAGAGACGATTTCGAATTGGGGTGAGAGTAACCAGGTTCAATTCAATTCCACGAAAATCCAGGCATTGGTTATCTTCAAAGAGATAAATGTCTCCGATCCAGATAAGTTTGTTGGGGGTTTTGCACAATCATCTCGCTGAAATTGCAAAGGCTGCTTCTGGAAAGCTTGGTACACTGTTCCGAACCAGAAAACTGAACATACCTCAGCAACTTTTGATGCTTCATGAAGCTCATACCAGCCCTTCTTTGGAGTATTGTTCGTATATATGGAGCTTCGCCCCTAACTATACCCTGAAGCTGTTGGATTTTATCCAGAAAAGAGCAATTCGCCTGCTTGCAAGATTGATAATCTGGAACATCTAAGAAAGATTGGAGATTTGTCTCTCTTCTATAGTAATTTCACGGGAGGTGTTCAAGTGACATGGAACATTTGAAGTTCAACTCAGTGCACATTGAAGTTTACTGTTTAGGAACTCTTTCAAATTTGGAGAACTGCGTTTATGTGGAATAAACTTCCAGATAACTTTTTCACAAACGAATTCAATCTCCAGCGATTCAAATTTAACTCTGTCTCTCCACCAACCACCGTGGTCATGTCAGATACTACATAGGAATTCGAGGTCTTCTAACTGAAACTACAAATGTGCAATTGGCGCCTGTTGGTGACACCGTGGTGACAAAACGTTGCATTCATAATCCATGAGCGCTCTTTCTGATCAAAATATTTGGACTCGGTTTCTCTAAATAAGAGCCACGATGACTATGAAGTGAGTATAACGATTTCTCTCACGAAGATGATGTCGAATGATATCAATTAACTTTCATTTTCCGTTAGGTTTTGTTGCAGAACCTGCAACACAACCCCTGTGATCACAAAGTCAATAGGTAATTAATAAACTCTCGGAGGTTGTCAAGATTCTTCAGATACGGAAAAATTAATATAGTAATTATTCCTAATGGATGGCAAATCGAATCAATGATATCTAGTATTGTGACGCGAATATAACACTTTTGGTTTTGGTGTCATCAGTATCTTGTTTGTAACGACAGCTGCCCAAACATAGGAAGCGATTTTTCATTTGGCGCTTGTGAATAATATATTTGTATCTCAGTATAGTTTTTGCCATGCGAAAAATTTTATCACAGGCATTAGATGAATCCCAAACAATGTTTCAAATTGATCCTGAATGAGAATTAGACATGGTCACTTCTATTTTAGAGAACCGTCATTGAGTATTTCAGTAGAATTTATTGATTATTTTCAAATTTGGCACTAAGACAGTTGGGCATATTGGAAACGAATAGAGCTCCTACTTGAATATATTCAGTAAAAACATAAAAATTCAATGAGTTTGTTTTCAGGTTCCAAAAGAACACGAAGGTTGGAATGGCATATTGGATGCAACAAATAATACCAAAATCTGTCATCAAGGACTTTTTCCGGGTACAGTTAATATCATTCTTCCACCTACTAACGCCACTCAATCCGAAGACTGTTTATTCTTGAATGTTTATACTCCTGTGGTAAGATATTTTCTTATGATATGACATTTTCTTTCAATCACATTATTACTGCAACAAAACGTCGAATTCTGAATAACATCCACCGCATGAATACCTGGCAGTGTTGGTATAACACAGAGGTTCTCAAACTTTTCAACCCGAGCCCCCCTTCATAATGTACATATAGGCCTACTTTTATTACTTCTTGCTTTCATACTTTTATATGCCTAATATATACAAAGCACAGTGGTACACAATACAAACTATGGCTATAAAAAGTATTTCCTCAAGCTCAGCCTAATGCTCATGATGTATACACAAATTAAAACAATCATGGAGACATAAAAAAATTACGAGATAAAAGTCAACTAGCAACATTATTGAACCTGAATTAAAGAGAAAAAAAAAACAAACTAATTTCAACTTTAATAACTGATAACTGATCTTGAAATGGGCTGGAGGTCTTCATAGAAATATTCATTAAATTTTGTCTGTAGAGTGGACAGATGTTTTACGAAACAAGTTGCTAGCTCTTGCGGAAGCTGCACACACTCAACTTCCTGCAACATGTTCAGCAATGTAGGGAAAACACTAAAATCAGATTTTCCCACAGCAGCTTTCCACAGCGACAACTTCTCAATAAACCCTACTACTTTTTCACTCCAAGCAAGGATATTGACGTTTCTTTTCTGCAAATACTTGTTCAAAATATTCAGTTTTGTAAAAATATCTGCAAGGTAGGCTAACTTCAAGATGAATTCTGTATTGCAGAATAGGTCTGCTGAAGGGTGGCTACGATCACTTAAAAACACAAACACTTCATTTCTAAGCTCAAATATTCTATTTAGAACATTTTCCCTTGATAGCCACCTGGCTTCAGTGTGAAATAATGATTCTGTATGTTCGGAACCCATATCTTCACATAAAACTTTGAACAATCTTGACTGAAGAGGCTGTGCTTTGATTAAATTTACTGTTTCAATGACAACTTGAAGAACTTCATTTAAGCTTGAACTTAGGTCTTTCGAGGCAAGTGTCTCTCTGTGTACAATGCAGTGGTTCCAGTTGGCGTTTGGGGCAACAGCATTGACCAAAATTTTAAGTCACTTATATTGTCCTGTTATGTTGTACCATCAGTGCATAGACCTACGCATTCCTCCCTTCGAATATCATTTTTCTTGAAATTACTGTCGATAATCTGGAGACTGCACTCTTCAGTGGTGTTGGTGGTAAATTCCTCATAAAAAAGCATTTCTTCTCGTATGTCTGTGTCGTCAATAAATCTGACATAAGCTAATAAGTGTGCATCTCTGTGTTTATCAGTTGCTTCATCAACTTGAAGGGCGAAAATGGTTTTCTTCAATTTTTCCAACAACTGCTCACTCATATCTTCAGAAATATCTGATACTCGCCTTGACACAGTGTCGTTAGAAAGAGGGATGGATTTTAGTAGCTGTGCAGAGCTACCTCCGAACATACTATCCAGTGCTAAGGTAGTTAAGTTACACATTGAGGCCTATCTTCATTGCTAATTGTAGTTTTAGTAAATCCTAGCGACAAATAACTGTCGTCATACTTTCTTCTTTTTGCATCCCGTACTGACTTCGAAGTACTTGCAGTTGACTCTTGAGTTGTCCCACCACTGACGTCATCCTGAGATGAACTGTTTGATATACATGCACTACTTGTCAAAAATCTCTTCATTCTTAAACGTTTTAATAAAATGAAGTGAATTTAGAGCAAACTGAAATTTCACAACGAAAAAAATACACTTGTGTTATACAAGACAACGAACATAACCTCAAAGTTTTTGTTTAGAAGTGTCAAGTGCCTTTTATCGTACAATCCGTCGCAAGCGCTACCGGCGCCAGCCTCTTGCTCCTTGAGCATAGAGGTCACTAAAACTGCTGCTTCTTCGAAAGTATAAGAATGAATATTAAAATAAAAGAGTTTCACCGTTTTTACAAAAAACCTTGTCTTTTTGATGACTATGGAAAAACATATTTGAGTAGTTATCTTATAATTTATATGTTTTCAAATAGATTGGTTTTTTAATTTTTTTTCACGTTCCTCCTCAAAAAACTTCGCGCTCCCCCTGGGGGTCTCACCCAACAGTTTGAGAACCTCCGGTGTAACAGATGTAAGTTCTGGAATTAGTGGAGCATGGTTCCTCACTACCATTGTCCAATCAAACATTGTAGAGAACGTCTCTGTATTATTATTTTTTTTAAGAAACCCGGAGGCAACGATTCTCTCTCTGTCTTTGTATTCTTACATTTGGGTGCATACGTTTTTGGAGATGGCTCGTTCGAAGTTTACGGTCCAAAACATCTCATGGATCACAATATTGTTGTAGTAACAATGAATTATCGATTGGATGCATTAGGTGAGTTACTCTTCGAAATTGCATTTTCACAAATGTAGTTTTTATATTCCAGAAAAATCTCCTCGAAAAATTTACATAAAATCTAATTGTTTGAGTTGATATAGCCTTGCAGTAGTGAAAGCTCATCATCTATGGAAAACCCTCACGATATGATTCGTACAAATTCTCTTTACTCCTAATTATTCACATTTACTCACATGGTAACCGACTAGTAAATTGCCAATATCCTGCCACAAACATGCATTTGCAAAATGCTTGATAATTTCGAACAGGTTTTTGTCAAATAATAGCTTTTCTTTAATGTTCCCTCCTTTTATTTTTGGAACGGATCAACTCAAAAAATTGAAATTTGAAATCATGAAATTAATGCATGAATACTTTATTTTGAAGTGAAATTGACAGTTGAAACTTTCAAGATGGCGACTGAGCGCCATCTGGGAAAAACAAATTAAAAGGAGAGAGGGTCTTGTGAAACAAACTTTTGAAGCTCCTGAAAAGTGCTTCACAACCCTAGAATATTATGTCAATATTTTCCACTACTACAAAATGGCGGAACTTTCAATAATTGCCTGAGTACATTGACATTTAACTACATAATAAAAGGTAATAAGTTTGAAGGCAGTTCAAAAGATGCTCGAAATGGTTGCCTTGAACTTCTTAACATATGAACAGCCTATCCGATATTTCATACCGAACATTTTCGAACACAGTAACGTCAATATCTTTACAAATATTTATTATTCTCTGTCGTTTGTCCAATACTGAAGCAGGTTCAGTTTCGTACACCTTTTGCTTCGAATAGCCCCACAAAAAAGTCCAAAGGTGGCAAATCTGGCGAGCAGGCTGGTCATTCTGTAGGACCTCGACGGCCAATCCAACGACCGGAAAAAGTAGTATCCAAATGATTTTTCACTTGTCTGGAAAAATGTGGTGGTGTTCCATATTGTTGGAATACAATATTCACATAGAATTCATTAGGATTCGTTTCGACGCTTTCAAGAATGAGATTGATCTACTGACGTCATCGATGACATCGTAATGACATTCTTCCGCTTATTTGATTAAATCCCAGCCAAAGGAATCTTGTTCAAATTGGAAGGGGTATATTTTTAGGAGGGGTTATTTTTTTTTTGAAAAGAAAAGTTTTGGCTTTCAACTTCTCCAACTTGATACAAAAGGAGTATATGTAGAGTAGTTAAAAAATTGAAATACTGTCTCTTGCCGCATATTTCGCAGTTTCTAAAGACCATGTTGATATTTTAAATGTATCTAGACAAATCATTACCTCAAATAATGCAGGTCATTGAATTAATTTCTAGAACCTTATATTCTTTGCTATCTGATAGATACGTAATCCTATCTATTTCCCAACTGCGGGAGTAAAGTATGAATGCGATCAGAATGCGATCATCGTTCTGTAACATTTCCCTTCTCCACTTTTCATTTCATGCGAGACAATCTGAATACAAAAAAACCTCTTGCCAATTTCAACTTGTAGATTGTAACATGTTTTCATAAATCTGGTACTCTTCTGAACAGTCCACAGTAGTATTCCAAATGAATCATGATCAGAATGCAGACATCTATTTGAAGTATTGTTTATTTTGATTTGTATACTTAACAGTGACATGAATTTCTATTCATGTCACTGTTAGGTATACAAATTGACTTCAAGAAGTACTCTTCTTCTTTTTTCGTTCAGTCATAGACGTGTTTTCCACAGTAATCAAAGTAGGGTGAGAGGTGAAATACAGTTAGGGATGTCTACTTTCAGAAATGTCACACATAGAATCGGTGGGTTCCGTGTGAATGTTTGAAGAGACTAATGGAACAGGTGGTGAGATTGCCTGGGTTCTGAACTGAAACAGAAGGATGAAACTTTGAAAAGGTCTCTTCTATGCCTGGCTTCATATAGAGAGCACATAGTGGTAATTCAATTAGAAATTTTGGGAACGAGGTATTTATTGATAATAATTTAAAAGCGGATTTTATGAAATCATGTTTCGAATTTGTTGATTTTGACTAATCGTGGAGTCATTGGAATTTTCTTACAACATTTTTTGTATTATAGTTCTGCGAGGTAAAATCACAAAAAACATATAGGCACTAAAGTATAATAACCACCAAAAGCATTAAATTAAGTGAATGCATGGAAACAGCATCGAATTGCACACAACAGAAAGATCGTCTTGGACGTATCTGACTGCACTGTAGAACATATGTCTGAGGTGGCTACTTCTGGAGACTACTGGAGTTTTGGAACTCAAGAATCGGAGAAGTCTAGTTGGAGAAGTGTAAAACGAAAGCCTTTAGTTTTATTGATGATTTCTGGAAATAGGATTTCAGTCAGATGTTGTAAAGTTAGTACATCAAACCATAGAGCATGACCTTATGGTGTAATGCACTTTTTCCATTCAGGCAACCATTGGAAAGAGTAGAAAATTTCAGAAAATTGACACATAAAGTGATCTCTAGATGGCGATCGAATGGGAGCTTTAAATTTGGTAATCCTTTTCAGCAACTATAATTGAATTTCTATAAGAAATCAAAAACCGACCCTTGCTCCCGCAAATCATTAGGTACCGCTATCTTGCTTAAGATCAAGAAACAAATAAAGGAACAATACAGTTCAAAGAACTCATTCCATATTTTTCGATTTCTTTACTTTCGAAGGCACCTAAAAATGTGTTTTCATGTAATGGTACCAATTATTTTAAGCATTTCTGACTTATTCTGTTGTCGTTCTCTATAGATCATTGAGCAACACAATTTCTCTGAACTCTGGAAATGAATATGTGAAACATGTTCTTTGTCACGTGCAATTTGACCAACTAACTTTCTGTCGCAATTCTCATTTCGTCAATCCCAGACTTTCCTCTTCCGTCGTCTGTTACAGGGGTTACCCAACACTCATTTTATTAAATAATTCAATAACCCCCAATATGTGAGATAATCATAGATTTTTTTTAAACAAAACTCGAGCACTACAGGATAATCTTCAAGGCGCTCTAAAAGCGATGACTGTGCAAAAGTAATAATTCTCGTTAGATTTGAAACGCTGGAGAATAAATCCATTTGGATAAAAGTTCACAGGAAGTTCATTCCACATAAACGCCGTTCTCCTAATGAAATAATTCTTGAACCACTGTTCAAGGTGTACTGAGGTGTACTGAGTTGAACCTCAGAACAATGAGCAGCCACAGCCCGTCACGTATTTTTGATATGTTGCGGTCTTGATGTAATCAAATGTGCCAAGTCACTTGAACACCTCCCGTGAAAGTATATACCTATATAGAAGACCTTTCTTCGATGTTTTAGACTATCAAGGTTGCAAGTCTGATACGAGCTTTATGAAGTATAATGAGGTGTGTACAGTTTTCTGGTTGGGAACTCTGCTCCAAGCTTTTAAGAAGCAGCCTTTGCAATTCCAGCGACATGATTGTACGAAGACATATTGCTGTCCATTTCAATCCAGTGTAGGAGCTAGGAAAGTTCCAAATCAAAACACCGTGTTATTTCTTATGGAGGTTCATTCTGGAAATTTTGGATCCTGCGACCAATCAGAGCGCTCCAAATTGTCACGTGACCCAGACGCATCGTCGCGAGTACACCACCCTGGCGCCACCTATGAGTCACTAGCTGAAATATATATTGGAAGGCGTAGGACGGTACATCTGACAGAGGGGGCTCCGTGGGACGGTAAATGGCGTCTTCTGTCAATACGGATCGGTAAATGGTGCATCTGTCAAATGTCGACGTAGGACGGTACATCGAAGCAGAAAGCGGAATTGTCTGTCCTGACATTTTTATATCTGGTTCAGAAACCGCTCCGCAGCCGATGTCCTGGTCGGTCGGTAGCCAAGCGGTTCGGCGTGGGTGCTTTGTTCACTTACTCGAATTGACTGCCGTGTTGGTCGATGGTTCAAGCCCTAGTCTGAACGATCGATTTTCACTTGCTATCGTCCAACCCGCGTTAAAAGGTAAGACATCGTTGAACCTTAGCTCGCACCAGTTTCGACTTCTGAGGGTTGTCGTTCGTAGGGGTGCAACAGCTGGTTAACGGAAAAATAGATTTTTTTTAGATAAGTTTGCTGTCGTCAGCAAACTTGGAAGTAGTATCAGAAACGTTCTGATGCTTCTTACTTGGTTAGCGAAACACCCGTTGAGAGACAGTAATTTTCTTCTGGCGAGGAAGAAGTATTTTCAATAATGAACAATGATTTTAGCGAGAAAATTGAAAGAATTGGATCGATTCATTCGAAAAATAGCGTGTGAGGGTAGATTTCAAAATATTTTATAAGGAACACTTCTGATATGGGTTGAAAGGATCAGTTACTATATACATTCTTTGGAATATTTCAGGTTTTCTCACTACTGGGGACGGAGTTATTCCTGGTAATCTCGGTCTGAAAGATCAAAATTTTGCGCTGAAATGGGTTAACAAAAACATCAAGTTGTTCGGAGGAGATCCCAAGAAAGTTACTCTAGGAGGGGGGAGTGCAGGATCTATGTCAACGGCTCAACATTTATTGAGCAAAAAAAGTAGAGGTAAGAAGTGAAACCAAAACCTGTGGTGTGATCTGAAGAATGTTACCGAAAGATTGGGATTGAAATTTCATACCAACATTATTTCAATACAGTGTAGTTTGGATTGAATGCCATTCATTTCAGTATTGATCTGAGACTGCCAGTTTCAAACATCAGTGAATTTAAATGAGTATCAATCCAAAATCTAAAGATGACACTTTCTTCCAACCATTCAGTTACATGAAAGAATCGTTCAGTCAGACCTAATTTTGTGCATTTTTCAACATTATTTGATATTGCATGTCATAAAAAAGTGGTGCGACTCTAATCTGCTGCCTTTCAATGTTTCCAAAACAAATTTGATATCATTCCGCTGCTTTATTGACAGCATTCCTTTACCAACACAGGACGCGGACAGGATAATTGAAAACCGACCTAGTACTAAATTTTTTGGGGTAATAATTGACAATGAACTCGCCGATCACATTGTAATCCTCAATAAAAACCTAGCTTCAAAGTGTTTTGCAGCGAGAATAACATACAAGGATCTTGGTTTGTCTGCCACTAAATCGGCTTATTTCTCACTTGTTGAGTCACATTTGAGGTATGGAATTCCTTTCTGGGGAGTATGTTGCAAAACTCAAATGCAGACGGTGTTCATCATTCAGAAAAGGGATGTAAGATTCATGTGTAATGGCAAAAGTCAAGAGTCCTGCCAACCCCTATTTGAATCACATAAAATCTTGACAGTTTTTGGAATCTTCATTTTAGAAACAGTATGTTTGATTAACAAACATAAATTGATATTTAGCGGTTACTCCAATTATTATGCTCTTCGTCAATCTAACGACCTAAGATTACCCATATCAGTCTCTACTCTAGTCAAAGACTCTATATTTTATAATGGTCTCAAGATGTTTAATCATTCACCTGACCGTATTGAAATTTTAGAGGATAGCCGTGTATTTCGAAAATCAGTAAAAGACTTATTATGTGGTCAAGCTGCTGTGGTCAAGCTGCATCACCCTTTCTAGATTTCATATCATTTCTAGAAACATGTGGATTCGTTTTCCGATGGCATTTCAGGTTAGCTTTCCAAATTTCTGCTACCGCAGTTGCATTTACGAAGCTATTTATATCAAGTACTTTCTTGGTTTTTCTCATTTTGTCTTCAATCGAGGACCGCCTGCCAGGTACTGACGATGCCCAATAGGCTGAAACAGCTGTCTACCGATGGCTCTTAAATTGAAATCAATATGGGAATTGTGCATTTCTCTAAAACCATTGTCACGAGATATGTGCGATTGTCGTTACAGAATCTGCACCACTAACTGTCATAATATACGTTTGTACGAAGATTTTTTGGGTACAGGAAACTTTCATTAAAGCAGACACAAGTAATATACCACATGCTGAAGCTTTTGAATACTTTTGAGTACAATAAGAATAAGGTATTTAGCAAATCGAATGACCAGAATAGTTTCTGAAATTGAATTATTCAGAAATTCAGAAAAAGCCATATACTTGATTGTTTTGGAATATTCAGTTGTGTCCACCCTGTTCAGTGATATGTATAAATACGTTTATTTCATCATTTATTTGAAAGGCATTTTTGAAATGTTTGAAAGAAACCATTAAAATGAACCTCGTTCCAAAACCAGTTCAGTCAACACTACTATTTTTGCTAGGCTGTTTGCATGATGTTGATGACTCTATCTTTTTTATAACAGTTCAGTGCATTTTAAATTGAATAAGGACATCCATTAACTATACAATATTTTTTGTACTTTTTTATCCACCATATGAATACAAACAAATGATTGAACATTCATACTACGGAAACGACTGAAACTGATGGCTATTCTCAACCAGTCCCGCATTGGTGTATCTGGTGACGTCATGCCCCTTTTTGAAGAAGAGCTTCTTTGATACTGTTTTCTGAAGTATTTGATTCATCCAGAGAAATTGTTGTGTTAATATTGTTCAAATTACGAGCCGATTCCATATTTGTGATAGAAAGCATTGAAGGGTGTCGAAAAACTTAACCAGATGGGACAATAGCCGGTTGTGTTTGCATATATGGTTTGCTCCAATCACTTAATCAACGGCGGTGTGAAACGGTGGTTCAAGCCGTGATGCGGAACGAGCGATTTTCACTTCCTATCGTCCTACCCGTGCTAGGAATCTCACGTTGAAATGTGAGACCTCGTCAATCCTCCGCTTGCAAAGTTCCCACTATTCCACCTCATACATTTTGAAGTAGCTGAATGAATGACATCCATTATGTATATGAAATTTACTATTGTATGAATTTTTGATTAGCAAATTTCATAAGTTCAATCCCTTATCTTTTTCATGCCAAGTTACTTCACGACGTTTCGATTATTAGTATACATAATTATCTTCGGATGATGATTGACTATTTGTGAGTCATTCGAGTGCTTTCATCTATCCCCTTTTCCCTCTCCACGCTTCGCCAGTTTAGCGGGAGTTGACCGTTTGGCGGGAGTTGACCGTTTTCCTCTTGATTATGGGTTTCCATATGACTGAAAGAGGAATTATCAATACTCTATTAACTGCTTGGGCTCTGTAATACGAACGAAGGTCTCGAGAAGAAACTAGTCATCATCAAAAATGATCTTCAATGGAATAGCCAGTAGGGGCCTCGCAAGAAAAAGAAGCCGTCACAACCAGTGCTTGCATATATCATCCTACATCAGAGGATTGTCGGAAAGGATAAGACGAATTGGGTCCAAGTACAACATGAGAACCTGCTTCAGATCCGGAAATACTACCCGTAGCAGCCTCATGAAAATCAGGCCACTAAAGGCGGACTGCGATTCCAAGAATTACATTTACCGGATATCCTGCGAGTGCGGAAAATCTTATATCGGTTAAACTAAGAGGCTATTGAAGGTCCTCATTGCCGAGCACAAGAAACACACACATAACATCAAGTGGTCCCAAGCATTCACAGGGAGGAACACTGGTTTAGGAGGAAATTCAAAAAAGCCGCATATATGTTGTCCAACATCGCATACAGCCAAGCTAGCGTAGGAACACGCTCCAAACCATAATCGAGCGAAATACAGCCAACTCCCTCCAAATGGTCAGCTCCCGCTAAACCAGTGAAGCGGTGAGAGGGAAGAGGGGTGAATGACCTATAAATAGTCATCTCTCGGAGAAATTAGTCACCACTCGAAGACGATTGTGGATACTGACAATCGAAACGTCCTGAAGTAACTTGGCTTGAAATCTTCCAATTTTTATTTCTTTCTTTATTACTCAATTTTCAATTGTCGCTCGAATTTTATTTCATTTCAGGATTTTTATTTGCTCAATTGTTATTTTCAGCTATCATTTTTAATTTTTCAGGGATTTCATATTAGATAATGGAGGTCCAAACTAAAAATATACGAACAAAGAACCTCATTCAAATTTTGTGTTGTGACGACCTGCACAAAAAATCAATTCTCTTTCCGAGTGAGCTTGGTCTAATAGCATGATATCAGGTGATCGTGCTGGTTTGTAAAATGTTGTGATGAACACCGTCATCAAAAAAATGTATCGAATTTGAGAGAATTACAATCTTTAAACTAACAATGGAAAAAGTGACATCGAAGATGTTAATGTTTAGAATTATAAATAGTATTGATTTGTTTCCATTTGATAATGTACTACTGTATACATTTGGTTGACGTAATGTTATGCTAAGTTTCATAAATTTTACCATCTCATTTCACTTCAATTACTTCTAGGTCTATTTAGCAGCGCCATTTTACAAAGTGGTACAATCAATTCATGGGGTTACCAAGCAACGCCAAGGGAATATGCTTTTACTCTGGGAAACATTTTGGATAACTCCATCGGTTATACGAATTCTACTAAGCTTTTATCAGTATTGCAGAAGGCTTCAGCCGCTGACATAATGGCGGCTTCACAAAAGGTCTGTTAATAATTTTTCTTATTTGAAAGAGCCTGTTTGGCAGAAGATAAGAAATGATTATTCGAAATGATTTTTCTTGTTGTGACACTTTGTTGTCTGTTTTGATATGAAATTATTATTCAAAATAACTTTTTGTTGTGACAATTTTTTGTCAGTTTTGCTTATCATGTACAAAGTGATGAAAAACATTACTATGTAGGTTTTGGCTTTCTTCCCCTACATTTTTATAAAAAAAATGCGGGGATCTATCAAAGATCCTCCGGTGCCTCCGGCACCGTGGCTAACCGATCCTATTAAAAATTTAATGAAAATGCGAGATAAGGCTTCACTTAAATACAAAAAATCACCAACTGATGAGCACCGAGTATATTATAAACAGCTACGTAATTTTACAGCACAAGCTATCATTAGAGAGAAAAAATCCTATTTATCAACCAAACTTGATGATTGCAACCCTAAACAATGTTGGTCGATACTGAAAAATAACAATATAATTACTTCAAAAAACCTGATTTGCCAACTCACTTGAACGACGCCAACCGCATCAATGACTTTTTTGTAAAATCTATTTCAATAACCCCACCATCAAATGTTTTATTTGATGAATATAATAACCATACCTTAGTCGATTCCAACTACCGGCTTACATCTGTGGATGATATGTGCATATTACAAACAATATCTTTGATTAAAAAAAATTCCATCGGATGTGATGGGCTCAGTATGAAAATGATCTCATTGTGTTGTCCTTTTATTCTTCCTTATTCAAGGAATGAGTGAAGTTTGAGGTGTACTGAGTTAAACCTTAAAATGATGAGAAGCCATAGTCCATCGCGGATTTCTGATGAGTACTGCTCTTGGTGAAATCAAATGTGCCAAGTTATTTGATTACCTCCCGTGAAAGTATCTATAAAAGAGAGACACATCTCCAACCTTTCTTCAATGTTCTACACTATCAAGGTTGCAAATGATGTTTGTGTTTCCATGGCTCTTCTCTGAATGGAACCCAGCGGCTTCAGGGTATGCTCAGGGGCGGAGCTCCATACATGTGAACAATACTCCAAAGAATGTCTGATCTGAGCTTTATAAAGCATCAAAAGTTGCTGTAGTTTATACAGTTTTCTAGTTCGGAACAGTGTTTCAAGCTTTTGAGGAGCAGCCTTTGTAACTCCAGCAATATGAATGTGCCAAGACATATTAACCCCCAACAAAGTTATCGTAGCACAAAGCGGAATTGTCTGTCCTTGCATTGTTATATCCAGTTCCGAGTCATTTATCTTTTTGGAGAAAAGCAATGCCTGGCTTTCGTAGCAATAGTTGTAGCCTTTCAAATATTTAAGGATATTGTGGTTTCAAAATAAGGCACTTGGTTTATTACCTCTTCAGCACCAAATTGGATAACATCACAAGATTAAATCATCAATCAATCATCCAGGCGTCGAAGAGAAGAGGGATCGACAAGGCAAGCTGTAGGTGGATAGACGGCATGCTTAGGGGAAGATTTGTATATACAACCATTATGAGGAAACAGTCGTGGCACGTGTAGCAAGGGGCTGTCCTCAGAGGGGGATTCTATCCCCTCTGTTATGAAACCTTGTAATGGATGAGCTATTATGTCTCCTGGACCACAATGGGTATAGAGAACTGGGCTATTCAGACGACTTAGTCATCTTAGTCCAGGGTAAATAAAATACTATAGTGAAGGGATGCATGCAGCAGTCCCTGAATATCAAAATAAGATAGACTGAAGAAGAAGGGCTCAACATAAGCTCATCCATAGTAGGGTTTAACATAAGCTCATCCAAATCGACCATAGTAGCATTCACCAAGAGGACTAAAACGGAGGTTCTCAGACCTGTAAAACTTCGAGGTGAAGAAATACAAGTGTCGGGGAAGGTTCAATATCTGGGGGTAATTTCAGATTACAAACTGTCCTGGAACCAACACTTGGACAGGATAAAGAGGAAAGCGGAGATAGCACTGATGCTCGCCAGGCGCACCTATGAAAGAACGTGGGGGCTAAAACCAGACATGGTATATTAGCTATACACGATGGTGGTTGACCCCTGATAACATACGTATCTCTGGTCTGGTGGCCAAAGATGAAGCAGGCGATCGCCATTAACAAACTAGCCAAGGTGCAAAGACTTGCATGTTTGGGAATGACGAGAGCAATGAGAACTACCCCAACAGCTGTATTGCAGACACTTCTGAATCTACCTCTTTTACACTTTGTGATAATGCACATATTGAATATATGCACGGACCACATGACACCGAAGTACACCTTTAACACAAACTTCACGGCCAAAATCATAAGCCGTGAAGAGTGGAAGACCATTAGTCATCCCGAAAACACGAAGACCAAACATGGAACGGGAGTTGGTATATACCGAGCGGATATACTATACACATCCGTCTTTTAGGCGGAAGTGTATTCAGTGTATTGCAGTGTATTGCAGTGTGCAGGGCTAATAAATTGAGACCTCAAAGAAATGAGCGGATCAATATTTTTACAGACAGCAAGAGCGCACTAGGGGCTCTGACAAACCCGAAGGTGACATCAAAACTGGTCTGGGAATGCCATGAAGAACTGAATGAACTTGCAAACAGAAACAAATCAACTTTGTACTGGGTGCCAGAGCATTCAGGAATCACAGGTAATGATAAAGCTGATAAATGCGCTAAACGCGGATCATCAACTTCATATATAGGTCCTGAACCAGCTCTGGGGGTACCAAAATCATTGGTATGAAACCATATAAAGGACATGGACTAATAGAAGGGATAGAAACAGCTCTACACATCTTATGTGAATGTGAGGCACTGAATCACAGGAGGCAGGTAATATATGGACGTACGAAATTACATCCAGAAGAATATGACGAACATCCAACACGGAACCTGTACAAATTAGTACAGGGAACGAGACTGATGGAATGAGTGTCATGAGAAGATGGGAGATTGACAAGTCAGACAGCTTCCAAGGTACAAAAAACAAAAAAACAAATTCAAAAACTTGACATATCAAAAAGCTGTGGCCCCAACAATATCCTTCCTTTTTTATAAAGTCTTGTGTGTCTTGTGTAGAGTCACTAATCGAGCCATTATACATAATCTTCAATCACTCACTGAAAACTGGAATATTTTCTAAAAATTGTAAATTAGCCAATATGGATCCAGTATATAAAAGTGGGAACCAGAGTGTGATTGCGAATTATAGAGGGATATCGCTTTTATATGTATTTGGAAAACTATTCGAGGAAATAATAACAAACTTTTTTCATGGCAAAAAATTCGCCTAACGAATTTTCAACACGGGTTTTATCGTCAGCGCTCCAGTGTGACTGGGCTCCTGCCGTTAGTACAAGGAACGTTGGATTATATGGAGGACAACGTTCAGGTGGATGCCGTGTACTCAGATATTTCTAAGGCTTTTGATAAGGTCCACCACAGTACCTTGCTCATCAAGTGGACGAATTTCGGTGTGCACGGCTGTCTGCTGAGGTGGATTTCATCCTACCTACGTGATAGGTGTCAGATTGTGAAACTTTATGATGATATGTCTGAAATTTCTCGAGGAACTTCCGGTGTCCCACAGGGATCAGACCTGTGACCGCTGATGTTTTCAATTTTCATTAATGACATTGGCTCGTGCTTTCATCATAGTCATTATCTAATATACGCCGATGATTCGAAAAAGTATTCTCCGATAGAGCAGAAACTACAACAAGTACTTCTCCAACCAGATATCGATCGTTTATTTGATCATTGTCATTCCAATAAGTTACATCTCAATCCTAATAAATGCTCTTTTATAACATTTTCTTGAAAAAAGCAGAATCTTGATTACATTTACGAGATAGACGGTTCACCTCTGAAAAAGTTTAGCAAATAAGGGATCTAGGCATTATTCTTGATCAAAAATTGTTTTTTGATAACCACATTGACTATGTAGTTAAAAAAGCACTGAGAAATCTTGGTTTTTAGACAGAAACTGTAAAGATTCAAAAAAACCCGAAACCTGTATACTCTTATATAATTCCATTGTTCGAAGCCACCTTGATTATGGAACAATAGTGTGGACTCTTTTTTATCAAAAATATATAAATATAATAGAACAGGTACGAAAGAGTTTCATACGCTTCCTAAACTTCAAATTCAGGTTGAATCAAAGTTTTCCTCTATATACTTCTAGCCTAAAAATATGTAAAACTAGAAACCAGACGGAAAATTGCCTACGTCATTTTTCTTAGTAAATTGTTGAACAATAAAATTGATTCAGAATATTGTTTGGCGAAGATATCGTTCAAGGCAAATGTTTATTACATGCGCAATTGTGATTGATTCAAGTTGTCTCCAGCAAGTAGTAATTATTTCTCAAATGCTCTAATATCACGTATGCAACAAATTTACAATTCCACTTTTTTCTCTGTTGATCTATTTCACTTACCCCTTTCAAAAGTGAAATTTTCTTGTAGAAACATACTATGCACTAAGTAGGGTACATGTATTTTTATTTCTATTTGTAAATAATTATCTTTAGTTTGATCTAGCTTAACTGTTTGTACGTAACTATGAATCTTCTAATTTATGTGCGACTCTATAATTGGAACTTTTGTTCTGTTGAGTTGCCAGAGCTGCAAATAAATAAATAAATAAGATATACTTTACTATAAATTTTTTGGTGAATGAAATACTCATGTGAATGAAGTTTAATGAAAGTTTTGAGTTTGTCAGACTTGTCAAACACACGACTCTGGTATCAATCATGAATTCAATATACTTCAATTCAAGAATTGAGGTTTGAAACACCACTTTGCGGAGAAAATGGCAGTGAATTCAAATATTCCCAATATCTTATGAACGGTCAAATTCTTGTGAAAAACTCGCCTGTGCTTATTATATTCATAGAATAGTTATAATATATTCTTCATTGATTCATTTACCTGCTCAAACTAGAATTCGGTAGACTAAGGCTACGTACATATGAGAGCTTTGCACCGCGCGATGAAATACGCGTACACACATACAGCGTTGACACCGATTTGACTACAAATATATATTTTTTTGTTTAAAAATGAAGAAGCTGAAGACCTAAACCTAAAAATATACCCCTTTCGAAAGTGATATGGTATGATTCATATGAAATCGATTGAATTTTGTTGCTTGCTGTTGTAGATGTTGTCATTATTTTAATTCATCAAAAACTTATGAGAATTTTGCTTTGAATCGATGCTGCCTCTCATCTTTACGCTTCAACCTGAAGCCTGAAGAAGAATGATGAATTCATGACGAAAAAATGATATCTTCCTGAAGAACTCATTTTTGGTTATAGAAAAAGATGAATGGTAGAATTATTTCCTTCATCACTTTATCAGCGTAAATGAGTTATCAAGCTTTCTTGCAAATGATGCTGGAGGTCATTCCTCGTTGCATTTCACTCATTTGTTCGAAAATTATTGAAAGTTTCCTTTTTTTAACGTTTGTTTGAAGGTGATTGACAATGTTTTGTGATGAATTTCACTAGTTCGGACTTTCATTGTCTATTATATAAAATGATTTGAAATCCCTGAAACAAGTAAGAAAGAATAATTGAAAAGAATAGTTGAAAATAACAATTATATTAAGCAATAGCGTTGGATAATATCCGACAAGTGTCAGTGTAGGATTCTTCACTGAAGTTCTTTCTGCATATGCTGTTGGTTACCCCGTTCACAGGCAGATGGGGCGATGACAAACCTGTTGTTTATCGTCCGCTTCTGCCTAGTTCGAGGAATGATACTCTGGAAGGAATTCAATTTTCAATTACGGAAAATCATCGACTTCATGCTGATGATAGACACTGACGAGTAAACAAACAGCCCGAAATCGGTCTGAAAGTGTGTTCCAATAATTGAAAATAAATTTTGGCAGTTGAATCGCCAACAGCATATGCAGGAATAACTACAGTGAAGAATCCTGCACTGACACCTGTTGGATATTATTCAACGCCCGTCGTGGTATAAGCCATTGAAGTAGTTGTTTTCTGATAGGTATCAGTCCATTTACCTACAGCGTAGGTAGTTTGAGACTGACCTGAACGAATTGTTCTTTTAGATAATTTAACTGTTTAACTGGTAGTTGACGGATGAGCCATTTTCTTCAAATGAAAACTAACTTCAAATTGTTTCAAGACATTTTGTCAGATCGATTCCATATTTTCAAAGCTTTGCCATTCTTTGATAATATTTCTCAACATTTTTATAGGTTCCAAATCAAGAGAGCAATACAGGTGTAGTTAAAGATTCTGTTTTTGTACCAATTATTGAGGACCCCAGTTTAGATGACACTTTCCTGACAGTGCCTATGCATGATGCATTTCGAGATGGAAAATTCACTCGAGTACCCACTTTGGTAGGCTTCAATGATGAGGAGGGAATCACATTCTATCCATTAAGTATGTACATTTACGTTTTATCATTCACCTCATTCTTCAACCTTTTCAATTTTTGTTCAATCGTACATTACCTCAACCACAGTATAGGAGTAAACACAAGTAAATTCACTCTTGGTCGACGTCTTTGATGATCGGGTCGAGATTTTATTTTTTGCTGGCGTATGGCGGGGCAGAAGGGTATAGGATAAGATCTATCGTTCACCTCTGCACGAGGTTCGATCAAAAATAACAGCTCAACAATAAATATCTCATGTGATTGTGAACTGTTTAGGAATTTATAAACAATTAGACAAGGTGGTGAAATAAATATATATTTTGTAGAGTAAGATTATGCTATTCTATTCTAAAGGTTTTTGAGAATGTTGAGTTTTTGATTTTTTTAACATTTATTTTCAAATTTCTATTGTCAAATTTCAAAGTATAATAAATTCTTACCCTTGTGAAAAGAGAAAACAAGTAATCCTGAGGAAAATTATCACAAGGGTGACAAATGTTGATTTTTGAAAACATTGTGGAATTGGCCGCGGTGGTAGTGCGCCCGACTTACGATCGGAAGGCCGTGAGTTCGATTCCCGCCTCGACCAGATATTATTCGCGAGAGAATGTATCTGGTTGAAGCTGGTATAATTCTGCAAAACCGTGTTACGAATCACACGTTAAAAGGTAAGACATTTTTAGCCTTGGCTCGCACAAGTTTCTCAACTTCTGAGAGTTGTTGTTCGTATGGGGGCGACAGCTGATTAGCGAAAAAACAGATTTTAAACAGACAGATTATTTTGAGCTGGTTGCCTATGAAATCAGTGGCACATACATTATAAAAATGATAAGGAATTTCTGTCTCTAGATGAATGATACTTTGTAAAAATGAATCTGAAGGCATATACAAATTTCTGAACTGTTTGGCTTCTGTATCACTGTATGCCTTGAAATACCTATATTAGTCTGGTTCACATGTACTCGATTTAGCTCTTTTTGGTGACATTTTTCAGCCCTGTCCGAAAATTACGACCAAGGTGTCATTCGATTCGTATTAAAAAAGTTTAATTTAGACTCTAAAAACATGAGTCTTTTGGGAGACAAGTTATGGAAATTTTATACAGGAAACACTTCATTCATAGAAAATCCAGGATCACTGCTAACTGTAAGTAAAATTCAGCAGAATATTGAATCGAAGACTGCATCAACAGTTAGTTCTCACATGACATTAAGGAATATGCAATATGATCCTTTCATCTCAGCTTCAGCATTCAAGCTCAGCCGAAAAGTTTCTGACAATCAAGAATCAAACTTCATTCTTCAACCTCATAAAAGATTCAGTGTTTCGATCTTTGTTCGGGTTTGAAGGCCGTCGTTGTTTGGAACTGTACGGCAGCGTTTGGAACGTTTCGACAGCATGAGTGGCAGGCTTCTTTAGAGAACTATTCATCCTGGAGGTTCACCGATGACTCATGATTTCTAGTTCGTGAGCTGTATTTATGTTGACACAGGTTGTTATTGACCGAAGTGTTATTACCTGTTACAATTTGTTGCACTGCTGCCACCTTACCATCTTTGGCCGAATGGCCGAAGTGTTATTACCTGTTACTTGCGTTGCACTGCTGCCACCTTAACACCTTTTAGTATGGGTTTCAAAATCCGGTTAAGCGTTATTGCTTCCTCTGTTTTGTTGTAGTTTTCTGTATGTTTTTGGATTTCTATGGCTTCCCGTACAAGCCGACTGTGGTATCCATGATCGGGTGTTCCGCTACTGCCGAAATCGAAAAATCGCCAGTAGCAGTGGCAGCAGTGCAACGCAATGTAACAGGTAATAACACTTCGGCCAATAACAATGTACCAATTGAAAAAGCGTGCTACATGTGTCAACATAATTACAGCCTACGAACTAGAAATCACGAGTCATCGGTGAACCACCAGGATAAATAGACTTCTGAAGAAGCTAGACAGCTGGCGAAACCTTAGGATACAGTTCCTAACCACGACATCCGCCAAACCCGAACGAAGATCGTAACACTGAAAATCTTCGCCGCTGGAAAAGCCTTTATCAATTTGTCATAAAAGATTGCTCATGTTGCATCGCTAAGAAGAACAATGAATCAACAACTTTATTTCGGAAGTATTTTGAACCATTTTCATTCTCTCTAAAGTTAACAGCTTTTCTCAGTTCCCTGTTTTTTTAGTTTTCCTCTGATGACATTATTTCAAGAAGTATAATTCGTTTTGCTGATATTACGTCAAAGTATACACCAACTTACTTTTATAAACTATCTTATGGAGGCGAACCTTTTGTGAATTTTCCTGGTAAATGCTCATCTGACTCTGTGTCCTGCTTAATTTGTCTTTTGTAGGGTTTATTAAACACAAACCTGGGTTCAATTGCATCACTTGTTGCCTGCAGCAGAGGTTGCGCAGTAAGCGCTTCCCGCCCTAGGCCCAGCCTAAATTGACCCATTCCTACTTCGAGGATTGCACCAGCCGTGCGCAATCGTACCATGGCCATTAACGCAACTTTCTTAACGTACAGACAGAGGGGTCAGACCCGTGATTAATTTTATTGCCGCGGTTGGTGTTGTTCTCATGGCTCCTGTGATGTTCAAATAAGCCAGTCGCTGTATTTGGTATAATTTTTGGATGACTGTTGCTTGTAGAACTTTCAGTCCCCATGCAATGGCTCCATACGTTAATATGTGTCTTATTATTGCAGTGTAGATCCAGGCGACCACACGGGGTGAAAGACCCCATGCGCGTCCTACTGTCCTCCGACATTGCTCATAAGCCACATATGCTCTTTTTGCTCTACTCTGTAGATGAGAGTTCCATGTTAGCTTCTTATCGAGGATAGTATCAAGGTATTTCACCTCTTCAGAGAAGTTTAGTTTGCTTTTGAAGATTTCGGAAGGTTTTAAGTCCAATAAACTTCTTTTCCTGGTGAAAAGGACCATCTCAGTCTTCTTGGGATTGATCGACAGTGAGTGTTCCTTACACCATGTTTCTATTAATTTGAGCCCATCCTGCGCCCTATCGCACAGTGTGTTTACAAATTTGCCGGTCTGCAAGATAACTATGTCATCTGCGTATGCAATTGTGTAGAATCCATTTTTGTTAAGGTGATTAATTAGGGTATCCAGAACTATGTTCCAGAGAAGGTGTGACAAGACCCCTCCCTGTGGACATTCCCTCATGACCACTCATTTCACTGTGATATCTTCTAAATTAATATTTATTGCTCTACTAGAGAGCATCTGGAGTTTCCATTTTCCTACTACCAGGGGTACATTTCTGGAGTGTAGTTGCTGGGTAATTGTACGAAAGGTTGTTTTATCAAACGCTCCCTCGATATCTATGAATATACCCAGGGTGGATTCTTTGTTGTCCTTTGATCTCTCGATTCTACCAATTGCAAACATTACTTTTTGGTTCATGTTTGGATTGTTTGGTCATAGTATACACCTGTAAAAAATCATCTATGTGTTCTTCAGATTATTTATACTATTTTCATTACTTTGTAATCAATTGTGAAAATATTTTTTCCTTTTTTCAGGTGTTGGAACTGTAGGTCACGCATTTGAAATACCAATCATTTGGGACTGGACTTTTCTACCTGACAAACATGAATTTGATAATGTTATACGTCAACGTATGCTCAAATTGTGGACAAATTTCATAAAGTACCAGTAAGTATCATTTTCGAATGCTTTCAATGATTCAGAATACCAATGAAACCCGGATAGATAGATGAAAACTGATGCCTGTGTCTCAGGGTCAAATTGTATGACAAACTCAATGGTGAAAACTGCATATCGATAATTATCATCGTTTCTGAATTATAGCATGTTTTTCGACAGTGTGCATTTTCGAAAAGTTACTGTATCTTTATCCTGTCAGAAATTTCTTGTTTCTATACTTCATTTCAAAGTACTTTTTACGTAGAATTGAATGGCGTGAAAACCTATTTTTTCAAATGAAAATTCAATAGTTATTGATGAATTACTATTTTTTTATGAGACAACCTGTATATTCCTGTATACGCTTTGGAAGACGGGGCAATAAAACAGAAAGAAATTGTTCAGTAGTTGCTTTCAAATGTTGAGGAAGCTTTTCACAGCAGTAATTGATTACAATTTATACCATATTCACTACTAATAAATGAAACGTCAACAATAATAATAATGATAAAGATCAAACAATGATATATTTTCCTTCAGAAAAGGTGTTCGTAATGTCAACCGGCTTCTCCTATAAACAGAAGACACATTTTCTGAATGTTTTTCCGAATTAATTAGTTCAATAGAAGTGCAAAACTTTGCATCACTGCTACTTCCAATTCATATTTAGAATTGGTCGGCCATTGGAAAATGAGATCTTTCAACGTTCCCCAGAGGTAAAACTCCGTAGGAGTCAGGTCCGGTGACCTGGCCGGCCAATGGTTGGGTCTTGGTTGGCTATCCAATTATTACCAAAATTTGCAGCCACAAAATTGGTGACAATTGCAGTGTTGTGAGATGAAGCTCTGTGTTGTTGGAAATATATATTTCTGAGCTTCATTAGAGGCAATTCATCAACAAGAGGTTTGATATTCTCCCTTAAAATTTTTCTGAATAATTCTGAGATGTGAGAGTAGCATTATAAATGAACGGGCCGGTAATTCTACCACTGTAAACACCTGTCCACACATAAAAACCTGGATCTTCCTTGACTTCTCTGCTCCACAGTAGAGTGGGAATTTTGTTGTGCCCAAGTATAAGAATTGTAGCGGTTTGAAATGCCGACACTGTTCAGATAAGCTTCGTCTGTCCAAATACAATTTAACGAAAAATCACGCACTTGATAACAACTTTCCAGGAACCAAAAAGACATGCGGCGTTCAAAATCTCCTGATCTGAGATGATGAACTGAAACACGCTTGAAAGCACATGTTTCCAAATTTCGCGTTAACCTTTTGGGATTATTTTGAACAGCTCCTAAATCGTATACCGTGTTCAAATTACAAATTCAGCTATCGTCCACCAGATGGCCCACTCTTCATTAACAAGACTCCTTTTGTGGTAGAACTCTGTTGTTCAACATGTTATTTGCTCAAAAATTGTATAGTTAGGTTTACTTACTTGTTTTAAGATTTTTGAGCAGATTCAAAGTACTCGAGGCAGCCATGTTAGCTTGTCTTTTCTGTTCTTGTAAGGAACGACGCTAATCGAGATTAGCGTACTCCGACAGAAAAATCAAATTTGTGAGTAAATTTATATCCAGAGTGGAGATTATTCATGACTTTGAATGTTCCTGCGTTAATTGGGCACTATATCTAGTGACCATATTTTGTTTTTTCCTGTAAGGACCCGAATTTAACCTCGGTACGAGGTGATTTTTTGCAATTTCTGAACTATTCGTTTCTTCAAAAGGTTTTATGAGGAAGGGATTTCTAGAGAACCTTCACCCCATGTAAATTGAGTTAATCTTAAATGTACGAGAAGATTTCCTCTGGTCCTGTCCGCCATTTTGTCGTATTGGACTGAAACCATTTCCATTTGATACATTTTCTCAACGAGATTTTCCAATGATGGATTAATTTCCTGCTCTAATCGTGTCTCCGGATTGTACCTGGTTATGAGTATATGGGATTTTTGTCTCTCCATTTATTTCTTGTTGAAAATCAAAGGAAAATTGCTCAACTAAGCAGCCCGTTTCAACCACTCAAGATGAACTACTTTCCCCAGACAATTGTCTCTCCGGATTTTACCTGGTCATGAGGATTGAGAGGATGGTCCATCTGTAAAGCCTGTCAATAACTATTCAGCCCAAGGATGCTTCATCTACTCCTCTAGTTATGTTTCCTTCTATTACTTGGTTATGACGTTGCAGTGGATGGTACAACTTTTGGATTTAACCAACTTTGTGGGACATTATACTACTGCTTAGTCTATTCAGGATATTATACGTAAACTAATTTTAACATTTTCCATGTTCTACCTTCCACCTTTTATTGAATTACATCATAATTGTGTGTAATATCCCTCGTATAGTACCGGACGATCTCTCTCATTTTTCAAAACACTTGAATAAGGCCATCATATGATAAATTATTATTTTATATTGGTTGAACTGATTTGAAATCATTAGTTAATATAGCAATTTCAATTCCCACGGAATTAATTGTATGAGTATAATTTACTTTTTTGTATATAAATTGATGGATGTAGCCGTTACTACGTGGTAGGAGATCGTAATGAAAAGAGAAATGAAAATTTCTATGTTGTTTACCACTTTTAATTCTAACTAACGTTTATTGTAAACAATAAACTTTATTAATTTCTATTCTCATTTTTTGTATATGTCATATGTTCTATTATTATATTGTAATTGTTGAAAGTATCTGTTTGACTTCAGATTCCTTCCTTAGTGATCATTGAATACTGATGTGTGATTTTTAAAATTGATGAAATATTACACGAAGTGTACAACCAACTTTGCATCTTGTTTTCACTTTTCGGTTAAGATCTGAGTAATATTTTAAAAATAATTGGGTGGCGTCCAAATTTAACTTGAAACACAGTCAATTAATCAACCTCGACCACATGCTCTACCTATTTCAATAGCTAACGGCGTTTCCAACAAAAGAAAGGAAACAGTGCAAACGACTATTTTTCCAAGTCCTTATCCCTATTTGATTCATATAATTTCAACCTTCTCTTTTCTACTTGACCACCATCAATGAGGTTGCGTCGCAATCTTGCGAAAATGTCTCTGAAAGTTTGTCTTTTCTTTGGATACCTCTCGTGATACAAATTGCTTGCTACTTCTGAATTTTTCCGGTTTGTGTAAAATAGACTATCATATCCCATATTTCATAATGTTTATACTTCATCAGCAAATATTTGCATTTTGTTTTATCGCCTCGTCGTCTGAAGCCTATTTGATCAAAGTGTGCCTTTGAGTGTGTCTACATGAAAAAACCTAAAAGCTCTGTATTGCAAATATGACTCTGGCAAACCATCAATTGTCCAACATTTTTGGAAAGGTAAAAATGAGTATTCCACACTGTTGAAGTATTCCACACTGTTGAATTCTGAAGAAGTGATTTTTTTTTGAAACAAGACATTTTGACAGGAAAAAGTTACACTTTTCGAAAATACACATTTTCGAAAAACATGCTGTAACAGAAACGATGATAGATATCGGTATGCGCTTTTCACCATTGAGTTTGTTATGAAATTTGATCCCCAGAACCAACCTTCAGTTTTCATGTCTCTAGTTTGAAAACATGAGTTTTTCTTTAAAATTGTCCAATTTGGCCCACTGTTTACACAGGAGCTGCAGTAATCAAAGAAAATGCAAGTTATCGACTACCAACAGAAGCAACTATCTATAGGGAAAAACTTTACAGGGTATTCATCAGCTATACCCCAGAAATACTCTCTTCTTCTGTATTGAATTAGAATTGGAACAATTAATGCAAATAGGGAAATGTATCGAAATTGTTTGGGTTCCTTCGCGTGAAGGAATAGTTGGCAACGAAACTGCTGACACACTACCTAGAGACATCAGCTCAAATCCTCACAGTTAACCGATTTGCTGTGAGCCACTTGAAGATGTGATCCATAACACAAGTCAGTTAACAATAAATAAATGGAGGGAAAAGTGATAAGCTCTGGAGGAAAATAATCTCAAAACAATGAATCCTAGCTCAAACTTCCAAAATTATCTATCACTCTCTCGTAAACATCGGACAATTCTAACCCGTCTCAGGATTGGCCACACAAGGTACATCCACCAGCATCTGCTGAACGAAGAAAACCCCAAAAGATGTATCTCTTGTGACGTAGAAGTAAATGTGAAACATATCACGGTGTGTCCTGACCATAGAGTGGAGAGGTTGTCAACTCAGTGATGCCCTGAATCCGAATTTCCATAAATACTGTTCATCTAATTACAAAGGTTCTCAAACTTATTTTGTCTACCGCCCACTTCAAGATATAATTATTTTCTAGCGCCCCTCAAATGTTTTTACTTTACTACATCTAAAGAATCACAATCGCAGTCATTATTTCAATAATTAAATTATGTGTGTCAAGTGAAAATAAGACTTTCTTATGAGAGTAATGAAAAACCATTTGGTAATATTAGGAAAACTTTTATTCATGTTATTAAAACAAATATTTTAATTTGAATTTAAAAACTAATCTAATGAGAAGGATCAATTTGATGATTTTTAACAAGTGTGTTCATATCAGGCTCGAATTTACTCAAAAACAGCCGTAAGTCACCGCGTTCGGTAATCTGCAACATTGCCACACTGAATCCACGTTCACACAAATACGATAATGGGAGTGCTATCAAAAATCGTTGAACGATGGACTACAATCCAGGGTTCAATTGTGGGATTGGCTTTTGTAGTCAAAATTCTTGGTATTCACTTTTGAACTTTATTTTTATTTCCTCGTTCGTTATCAGTTCTGTGAGTTCTTCTTACAGCTGGGGTGATATTGCTGTGTTGATATTTCAAAAAGGACCCAACACCCATTCCGGTATTTCCAATTTTGAAATATCTTGGATTCGTACTGCGAAATCACTGTGAATATTCTCCAAATGTTGGCAGTGAACAAGCAAATCGTCGTTGTTGAAGGAGACTGCTGACAAATTAGGGAAATTGCGAATCTCGCGTCTGCCGATATTATTCTTGTATAAGAGCAATTTGGGTACAAAAGCAGCAATAACATTTTTTGTTTTAATCAAATACAAGTCGTTAAATCGTTAATCGTTAAATAATTTATACAGGTCTGTCTGTCTGTCAGGTACGCAATATCATTCTTTGAAGTGATGAGGTTGTCGTCCACTTCTTTGTCTTTGTTTTCCAAGAACTCTATTACAGAGTCAACTAGATTGTAAAATCGAGTCAGACAGTTACCTCTTGATAACCAACGCAGTTCTGTGTAAAATAACAATCGGTTGAAATTATCATCATTAGCAATACAAAGCTGATTAAATAATCTGCCATTTAAAGAGCTGTTTCAGATTTTATTGACTAAATTTCTAGTAGTAATTCTTGATATATTTTCTCATTTTCAATTAACCTCACGTATGACAACAACAATGCTTCATTGGTTGATAAAGTGGACTCATCTAACTGAATTGAGAATTTAGAACTCTTCAGATGATTGCACAATGACTCTTTAATGTTTTCAGCCATCTCATCAATTCGTCTTTGCACGGAACTATTGCTCAAAGGAATTTTTCGGATATCTGACGCTGGTTTATGGAGCACAGTAGTTATTACTTCTTTTATTGCTGATAAAATTAAATCCCCTTCAATAGTGTGACGTTTACAGGTTTGAGCCATTGGCAAGGAGATATTGTAGGAAGTTCGAAGTCTGTCATCTTACTGAGAAGCCTCTGAAAAAAGTTTTGACACAGTTGACTGAGCTGAGTGTTTCTTTTCCAATTCTGGAAAATAAGTCACACTTTTGTCTTTTTTATCTAAATGCATTTTATACAAATGATCTTGTAGCCTTGAGGGTTTCATCGCTTCATTCGAAAATGTTTTTGACAAAGAAGGCACATAGGCGAAGATGGATTTGTGGGATTTTCGATAAATCCATATTTTATATATTCCGCGCTAGTCTGCCGTTTATTCTTTTTTGATTCCGACAAAAATGCCGAAGAAAAGAATCGAGTATCAAAAACTTGCTAATGACACCACTCACAGTATTCACCACCGCACGTACAGCACTTTACCTAGCTAGTTAGCTTGTCGCTAACTAAATTCACTTGTTTTCGTAATATCGTCGAATGACGTTACAGGCCGAATGGAGCGCGAACTCTTATATGAGGCAGCGGGTGGGTCTAGTACTTTGGAGAATGGAGACTAGAAACTTCTCGCTTCGCATTGAAGCTTACCGCTGTCTATTGTACAGTTTGACAACTATCGGACAGGAAATAGTTACTATCTAGTCCCCTAGATGGCGTTACACGAGGAAACGCGCGTTAAGCGTGAAGGAGCGGCCCCTATAGGCCTCCTGCGCCCACAAGGGGGCGTTATCGCTCACTTTGAGAAAGACTAATCTAATATGATTCAAATTGCACCACAACCTTCGTAGTTGATATGGTTCAATTATTGAAAAAAAAATTGAGGATCGCAATATTTTGTGTATTCTCTGTATTATTGCAATCATTTTCTTCAATGCTCCTCATATTACTCGCAGATCTACCCGACTAAATTCTTATAATGAATCTTATACATTGATAAACGAAAACTTTGCTGTATCACTGATATTACCTTTTTTTTTTAGCAATCCCACTCCAATATCCGATCCACTGTTACTGAATGCAAAATGGCCAGCTTTGAAACCAGGCAAACTCAATTATTTCAATATCAATGTTACTTTCAGTATTGGAACGAACCCAAGGCATTATAATGAGGTGAAAAAATTATATGATCAGTATGTACACTCGCCTTTAGTTACATATTGAAATTGAAGTCGATTTGATACTTATATTATGTTTTTTTTCAAATATTAATATAATAAAAAATAAAATATTTCAATATAACAATCATCTCTTGATGTGTTTTTTATTTTGGAATTATGAAACTATGAACGTCAGAAAGAGAAACTAATAATAATACTTTCATGGTATACCGATGTTGTCCTATGCTCCGGGGGATATTGGATCCGTTGTGGGGAACGAGAAGAGGGGAACAATTCGTTCCCCACCCTCAGGCTCATACGAGCTGATGAGCTTCATGTAATTCTTCTCGACTATAAGAGCAAGACGACATTTATCGAAAGGTTTTCAGCTCTCAACGGGACGAATATCGTCAGGGAAGAGAAGAAGAATTCCACGAACTCTATCCAGACCACTCTATCAGAACGGTTTTTCTGATTGTTGGAGTCCTTGGTGGAATGATGCACACTCTGCTCTCGAATCTCAAGATTATGTCGGCTTGCCGTACGATGCAGAGAGCTGTCATTCTTGTCTCATTGTGTTTACTTAGGGCATATGGAGAAGTACTGGACAATACCCAGCATTATAAACATGATTGTGAATTTCTAAAGGCATAGTCAGACATTTTCTAACCAAACAGGTGATGTAAACTGAAAGATTAAAATTTAATTTCTGATAACAAAAACTTTGTTGGCAAAGATCGAACTTCAATAATTTGTATGTTTATCAGCTTCAATATTACTGTCCATCACTATGCTGTTCATCACTATGAAGCTCACAGAAAGCTGCGCGACAAGTCCGAATTCATTCAAAATCAGAAGGGACTAAGAGTGAAACTGAACCGTGTTAGGAATCACACGTTAAAAGATAAGATCTCGTTAATCTTTAGCTCGCACAAGTTTCGACTTCTGAGGGTTGTCGTTTGTAGGGGTGCGACAGCTGGTTAACGGAAAAACAGATCTTTTTAAACAGAGGTGATTGTGAATATTTGGTGAATGAAAATGTATTCCAGCATCATTTACAGCTTGGGCACTGCGAATGACTGCTGAAAAAAGTCTCGGGCCTAGTCTTATTGCATCCACCGCTTTTTGAGTTAGTACTAACCTACAAAAGTGAGCTGCTGAAATTTCATGATATTCTACTCATAAGTTTGTGAGTTATTGTGCTAAGAGTGACACTATTTTGGTTATTTTCAAAACAATACCGTTTTCACACTGCTTCTTGATGAGAAAAAATACCGTTCAAGCGGAGTAATGGCTTGAAAAGTGTTATAAGGGCTCCGCTCTAATAGAAACGACAATTAAACGTTAGTTTGCTGACTTCAAACGTTTGTTGACTTCAGTGACTGACTGCATCGATGATGCAGAACGCAGTGGACGTCCAAATGAGGCAGTAACACCAAAAAATTTATAAAATCCTTTTGAATGATCGAAAAGTGAAGTTGACATTGTGCCTATATCAAACGTGTTGGCTTTATACCGCATACTCATTTGGCTATGAGGAAGCTCTGTTCAAAGTAGAAAAAAAAACCATAGAGTGCCTTGGAAATGAAACTGAAATTGTGAAAGTTAGTGTCAAGATACAGTTTTTCATGCTTAATATTTCAATAAAGAAAAATTGAGATTGATTGAAAAATGCACATTCTACAGGGGTGGTTCCATTTTAAATGGGTCACACTGTATAAGTTTTATTCAAAACTTCAACCCAATTTTCATTACCGATGATTATTTTGAATCGATTTATACTATCAACTATCCTACCGTGTTGGGAATCACACGTTAATAGGTAAGACCTCGTTAGTCCTTAGCTCGCACAACTTCTGAGAGTTGTCGTTCGTATGGGGGCGACAGCTGATTAACGGAAAAACATATTTTAAACAGACAGATTCGTAAAACGCTTCCTGTATTCTGTTTTTGTTGCTTTTGACATTTTGCTCAACTCCATATTGCAAAATACTACACAAAAACAAGAACGTCTTGATGAGTCTGAGCAGTGTTTGGCCATGTTTAAACATAACAAATCGGAATTTCTGCGCCGATATGTGACAATGGATGAAACATGGATCCATCACTTTACTCCGGAATCAAAACGATCGTCATTTGAGTAGAGAGCAACTGGTGAACCTCGTTTAAAGTACCCAAAAGCAAAATTATTGTTGGAGCGTTTAAAGGCCGAAATCAGGTGAAAAAAATGAATGAAGAGGTTATTGCTGAAACTGAGGCCTATTTCATGGCAAAAAATAAATCGTTCTACAAAAGTGATTTTGAAATGTTAAAGCGGCGTAGAAATGATTGTGAGTCTTTATGGAGATTGAGTTGATAAATAAAGCCAATTTTGAACAAAAAACATATATTTCAACACCTGCACAGCGATCATTCTGTATTATTAATCTGAGTTAAAATACCTATAGTAGAATTTCTCATAGCATCTATGAATTTCCAATAATTAGGGTAAACTATGTTTGTGATTGGCCTTACGTATTTTATAGTATGTTTCGAACACCAAAAAATCAAATGAAATATTGTTGACTGGTTAATTTGAAATATTTTGGAATCTTATTGTCACATTCTGGAGTTTCTTCACATTTCACAATTTACCGTCAATAAGGCACTTGAAGAATGGCTGTTGCAACTGTTTTGATAAGAGTATTCAAGGTGAATCTCGAGTAATGGACAATCCTATCAAATGTTTAGAAAAGTTTTACATTTTGAATATTTTATACGATTTTCAATAAAAATTTCTGCTTTTTCATATTGAAGAAGTCGGATATGAGATAAATATCAAGGAGTATATACCTGGTATGAAAACGGTGTTAGATAATTCAAAAAAAGAATTATAATTACTTTTCTGTGCAAGATATATCGGAAAACACTGAGCAAAGGTGCAGCTATAAATGAAGCAAATTTAATAACTAAGCTCAAAGAGAATCTGCTGGAGTTATCTGCCGATGGGATGTTACACTTAGAATTCAAGTCTACCAATTTGGATAGTTTTTGGTTGAAAAGAAAAACAGAATACCCGGAATAAACAACTGAGGCCTTGAGATGTTTGATTTCATTTCTCACCACGTATTTGTGCGAGTTGACATTTTTATCCAAGACCCAAATAAAAAGCAAGAAAAGAAATCGCTTAAATTCAGAAAATGAATTAATTCTCAATGTAGCAAACACGGAACCACGATGGAAAAAATTGATTAATCAAAAACAAGCTCAACCTCCGCATTAGGAGTGACAAGTAGACGTAGGCTTTACTTTTTTGTTAATTTGTTTGTATTAAATATGTACAAATTTTTACCAGTATATGCTTTTCGTTAAATTTTTTTTTTAATGAATATATCTTTATAAACCTTATTGATTTTTACTGAGATAGTTTTTTATCCTTGCGCGACCCCTCTACAGAAGCATCGAGACCCCTCGGGGGTCGCGACTCACACATTGAAAAAACATTGGTATAAAAGAACAAACTGGAAGATAAAACGTTCAGTTCGAGTAGAGTCATGAAGCTAGTATTTTAATATTACCATATGTTTACAAAAAGGATTTGAAGCTTCAATAACTTCTACTTATTACATGCGAGCGCTTTCAATAGCAAGCTGTGCTACTCAAACTGAACGTTCTTTCGTCTTGTTTGTTCTTGTATACGTTTAGAACGCCTTAGTGCAGGTATTTGTCCCCTCCTGTCATCCGGATGCCTGTATTCGGGTTACATCAACCCAAATATGTAATGGGTTACATTGTGTTGGAGCTCCTCTAGGTTTATTGTTTCTAGGAATGTGAATTGTCTGGTTCGATTGATGACTTATTTATTTCGTAGAAATTGATGTTGAATATAGAATAAAGAAAATACTTTTGTCTAGTTTCTACTGTGTTTATTTATTCGTTACGACCGGTTTCGGCTTATAAGGCCGTTTTCAAGTAACTACCACAAATTGTCAAGTTGCGTCTTAAATAGTGTGGCCAGGTATCTGCTCTAGGTACCTGACCTAACACGTTACCAATATTACAATATGTCACGATTACATTATTATTTTTTTGGTTTGTGACCTATGGATGTAAATGCAGTCCATCGTTGTATTGTTTCATCTGTTGAAGTAGTTTGATACTTTATTTGTATTTTTTGTTTAATTCTATTTTCTAATTTATCTATTGTCTTTTGGTTGTATCCGTTGTCGTTTGCTGTTTGATATAGGTATAATTTTCTTTCCTTTAACAAACTGTTGGATCCTCCGGGAGAAGGAAATATTAAGAGCAGGTAGTTGTTGGTTCACAGATGAATCGAGAACACTTTCCGGTTTCGGTCCAGCGGTTTCCAGTCGCAGACAAAGGACATAGATTTCAACCTGCCTAGGAACGTATGCGACTGTATTTCACGCGGAAATTTACGCTATTGGATTGTGTGCGGAGAGATTAGAAGAATCCAACCTCATACACAAGTCAATAAAAATATTCACGGACAGTCAAGCGGCGTTGGAAGCTCTTGGCTCCTACCGAGCAACATCTTAATTGGTAGTAAATTGCTCAAAACGACTCTCTCCGATATGAAGACTCATTAGATTGTCTCTGGTCTGAATTCCTGGCCATAGTGGCCTGGAAGGCAATGATGCTGCTGACTTCCTTGTAAAGTAGAGTGCTGCAAGCAGCTTCATCGAACCAGAACCTGTCATTGGCATCGCTTTAGGCTTTGCCAGACAAAGATTGAACACCTGGATGGCAAGAAAAGTTATGGACTTCTGACAGAACCTTCCTGGATTGGCTCACTCCAAACAGTTGTTGGATTACAGTAGGGATGAACTACGATGTCTAAGAGGTCATCATACAGGTCGCTGTCATTTAAATCATCATATGCAGAGACTCGGACTGTGTGTTGCCTCTGTTTGGAAAATGATGAAATAGCAGAGCACATACTTTGTGTCTGCCCCGCTGGGGACCGAATCAGGTTTTAAGAGTTCGACAGAGCCGTACTATTACCATCTGACCTGAAAGACCACTCACCATGCAAACTAATCGGCTTCGATAAGAAGCTGGGTTTAATTGGTCGAGTGTGAATAGTTGTGAGCCACAATA